AAGACCACACTGATGTGACAAGGTCCACCTCTGGAAGCCCGTACGTCCAGCAGAGTCAACTGAAGGAGTTGGCGTCGACTGCCCATTCCGTGGACAGGGGAATGAACAGAGATAGCCTGTCTTCCAGGATGTTGGACACCCTTCGGGTATAAACCGTGAGGAGAGCCAAATCCCGAGAAACCAGCAGACAAGTCATTCAAAGTGACCAACCCCAAAGAGACAAGATAACCCCTGTGGTTCAGGTAACGAACCACCAGAGAACAGTCCAAATAGAGCCGGATGGTCAAACCTCGAGCGACGCGAACCCTCTGAAGCAACAGCCAGACCGCCACGAACTCCCGCACCATGCTGTGAGCCCGACAGAAAAATGAACTCCACCGCCGCTGACCGATCTGGTGAGCACTGGTCACAAAACCCCAGCCGAGTGATGACTCGTCTGTGAACACACAGATCGAGGGTTCAGGTAGGGGCTCAGGTAGAGGCCAAGGCACTGAACCCCAAAACACCCGAAGAGGAAACCGGTGATGAACAACCGACACAAGTCCCCCGGAGGTTATCTCGAGATGATAGGTTATCTCGAGATGATAGGTTATCTCGAGATGATAGGTTATCTCGATTCGGGGCTTAGTGTCCCCGCGGCCCGGTCCTTGACCAGGCCTCCACCCCCAGGAAGCAGCCCGTGACAGCTGTCTAACTCCCAGGTACCTATTTACTGCTAGGTAACAGAAATCAGGGTGAAAGAAACTGCCCACTGTTTCATGCCGGCGCCCGGGATCGAACCCGGGAGCACAGGATCACGCGTCCAGTGTTCTGTCCGCTCAGCCACCGGCTCCCCAAACCCAACGATCGCGAGAGAGGTGAAAACGGTGTCCCTGAAGGAACCAAAACAGATGCCAAAGCCAAACCTGACCCAGCGGGTAAACTAGGACAGTGAGGTTCAGACTTCCTCACAACTACTCGAGCAACCACCGAGTGACCAGGGACCCCCAAGAAACAGCTGAAGGTGGGGCTGCAGCAATGCATCTGGAGGGAGGGACATGGAAGCGGTCTGAGAGTCCCAAACAAAACCCAGTCAGTTCTGAGCCTGGGACAGAACCAGAAAGGACTTCCGCCAGTTCACCAGAAACCCAAACCCAGCAAGCTTGGAAAGAACCACACCCCTGGCAAACAGACAAGCAGACTGGCTGGAAGCCCACAGCAACCAATTGTCGACGTAGGCCAGAACCTGACACCCTAGCAAATGCAGACGGGTCACCAAGACCCAGGTGAGATGCGTGAATACATGAAATACCAGATTCAAACCAAAAGGATGGCAATGAAAGTGGTAAGCCTGATGCCTCACCACAGAATCTAACCAGTCCCTGAACCCTGGGTGAATAGGGATGTGCCAACAAGCATCCACGAGCTCCAGGGACACCACTTAGGAACCTGGCTCCAACACAAGCCGGACCTGAGACCGAGTGGTCATTAAAAGGAGGGGCAAGCAATCCAGGGGTTCAGATGGGACAATACCAGAATGAACCCACCTGAGGGATGGGGTTGTTTCGACTACGCCCAAGCGCACCGACTCTTGAGATGACCCAACGGACAGAATGCAGGGAAAGAAGCCCGCCCCGCCAGCCCCGAACCCCCGAAGGAGGAGGAGCCGCTCAACACCACCACAGGCCAGAGTAGATGACCCGAAGCGCTCACAAATCGTAGGACCAGGCATGAGCAAACAGAGCAATGACACCCCCCCCCCATCAGAGGGGTGAACTGCAAAAGGGCCGACGCCCCTTACGAGAAATCGGCTGACGAGCAGAGCGAGCATTGCGCAGACCAGACGACACCGGCTCCGAAGGCAACGTCTGCTCAGAAACTGACACCAAAGGCCCACCTCGACCGGAGGAACCCCAAACCCTGGCACGACCCTTCCAAGAAGGCCAAGAACGGCCACCCCAGATAACCAACAAATCAGACATGGGACGACAACTAGACGAAGCTGCCTGCAGAGACTGTGTGACCTGCACAGACTCCGCAAACAGCAATGGCCAAAAAGTCGAAGAAAACTTAAGAGCCAGGGCCCACGCAGATTCCAAAGAGTGATCAAGCACAGCAAGCACAGCATGTTGGGACTCTAGGCGAGAAGCAAAGAACAGAGACACCACCTTCTTGATAATCAGCTTAAAACAACTTCAACAGTGTGGCCGACGCCCAAGCCGCCGAGGCCAGTGCAACAGATGAAGGCCCGGCACTCAACACCTCTACATCATTCTCAAGCCAGAACAAAGACAGTTCGAGAAGGGAAAAGAAGTGCAAGACTGAAACCAAATGCCCACTGGCATGCAAATCCTCTGCAAACAAAGGCGAAATGGAAGGAACTTGCATGTGCAGCTGTTCAAGGCCAACATAACGAGGAAGCACAGGAGCGAACACGCATGCATTAAGGTGCTCAAACTTGCCCACAGGTAAATCTACAGAACGGTAAAAGTTTGTCACCATTCAAGCGTGCAAGCCAGACAGAACCATGCCATGCCCCCAACAAAAATAACGGGCAGTCTACCAGCCAGGACGACTCCGGAACCTCCAAACTCACCCAATACGGGCAAGAAGAACCGAACTCAAACTAGAACGTAACCCATCAGAGAGGCAGAATCCGGGTCTCGCAGTAGGTATGCAGCAAGTGCCTCCCGAACCTCCGATGGGAAGATCCAAGAAGCAGAAAACCTCTGGAAAGAAGGCACAGAGGAACCCTAGGGAGCTCAGAACCGAACCTGGAGAGGAGCAGACCGGAAATCATACTCATAATGGGAAAGGGGTAACAACAAGCCCCACAGAGGGGCCTTGCAACAACAAGCCCCACAAAGAGGACATTAACACCCAAGCAGGGTCATAGGGGGCCTAGGCCCTCTATGTTTGCTGAAGCAAACATCAAGAATGCATGTAACTGTGGAGTGTACAGTTAGAATAAGTGTTAAATTTAAGTACATAGTGTTAGTGTTCAAATTAAGGTTACAGTACAGTAATTTTAGTGTAAAATTAGTTTTCATAAACTGTATTGCAGTACTGTACTCAACATACAGCGAAGCTACTTATCAATACAGTGCTAACGGCATAATACAGTACAGTACGTATTTACTGTACAGCATTCACAACTCCATAAGAATTCAAGGTGGACATAACTCCAACAATAAGGTAAATAATAACTAACACAGTATTTTGCAGTAGATTACAGAGCACCACTTGGTTTCCGAACTTTAGCTATCCGAAACTTCCAGTTTCCCGATTGGGGTTGGGGAGTCATGCTACCCGAACAAAGTTCGGGTAGGAAGGGGTCCGCCAAGCGTCACGCCGGCTTGTTGCGGTGGGTGGGAGATGGTCCAGTTTGCCCGCTGTGACTTCACAGATTCACGGCCTATTATTCCTATTATTTTGAATTGCTTTTGTTTTACATATCTGCACAATCAAGAAACATCTGTGCACCATGTCGGCTCCAAATGCACGCATTGCGTCAGTGATGGTTGACCGGTGGGTGGATGGATGGATGGATGAGGGAGCTTAGGCGGGAGGCAGTATGAGAGAGGGGGGACGAGAATCAGTGAGAGAGGGGGAGAATTAGTCAGAAAGGGAGGGAGAGAGAGATGCTAGGAGGGAGGGGGAGGGAGGGAGAGATGCTAAGAGGGAGGGGGAGGTAGGGAGAGATGCTAGGAGGTAGGCAGGAAGGGACGGAAGTAGTGAGAATTAGGGAGGGAAAGGCAGGCAGGCAGGCAGGGAGTGAGTGGTAGTTACGCGGTTGAATCGCGTGACCTTTAAAAGAGAGTATGGGATGTAGGGGGGCGGGTGGTGGGGGGCGAGACCGGCTCATTCCCGAAGATAAGCCTAACACACACTACCCGTTAGCATGATGGCAAGCAGGCAGGCTTGCAGGCTGGGAAGGAGGCAGGCAGGCTTGCAGGCTGGGAAGGAGGCAGGCAGGCTTGCAGGCTGGGAAGGAGGCAGGCAGGCAGGCTTGCAGGCTGGGAAGGAGGCAGGCAGGAAGCAATATATGGGTGTTGAAGTGAACCATGAACCACGTGACCTTTGAGAGTGTGTGTGTGTGTATGGGTTTAGGGTGGGGGGAGAAGGGGAGGTGTGTGTCGGTGGTGGGGGAGGGACCGGCTGACTCCGTAAGCCTAACCACACTCCACAGACCTGTGACCCAGATTTGTTTCTTAAATGTACAGTACATCATCGTATATTTTAGGCAGGATGTTCCTGCAGGCTGGCAGGATGTTCCTGCAGGCTGGCAGGAAACATCCAGAGAATGTTTGTCAGACGTCTTAATAATCAGTTAGGAACAATTAAGGACTTTTATAAAGTGGATCAGGACTTCACTTATTGATGAGTACAAACAAAATACGGTCGCATTTACGTTATGAACCTGTCAATTTTTTCCCCTAGTTTTTTTCGTAAATTTTTCGGAAAAATTTCTTTTTACATTTCTAGTTTATTTTTTCCCCTCTATTTCTCGTATACGAACTTACATGTTAACCGACGGGTCTCGTCCCCAAGGGGTTCGGAAACCAAGTGGTGCTCTGTAGTAATATACAGGTACAGTATATAATATGATAATACATTTTTAATGTTTACAAGGAAAGAAGGACTGATGCAAACGCCTCTTGAAGGTCACCTCTTGCAATGAATCCAACGCACTGGGGTTGGTGCCATATAGTGCGTTGAATCATGGTTTTACTGTACAGTAATTAGTGGGACTCACCCGCAGCAATGATCATTTTCCATATTTGCCTTGGGACTCATTTCCTTCCTTTGCCTAGCATTTTGGTGGGTTTTTCCTTGGTTGTGGGTTGATCTTTGATCTCCCAAGCAACCCTCACCATGTAGAGGGAGAGCCTGGGCTACCATCAGGCCAGCATAGGTCTCAAGAGGCCTGGTGCAATTCAAAGACTTGGCAATATCAACACCTAAGCTAAGGGAAGGTACTGATGGGGCCCTCACAACAAATGCAAAATACAGAGACATACCGTTTCATACTCAGGCACAACACCAAGTGGTGCTCGAAACTCCCCGGAAATGTCTTCAGCAATATTCGTTTCATCTCCATCTGTGTCCAGACAGACTCCCTCTGGCATAACAACTTCTGCAATGGTAGAAATTACTAGATATTTTTCAATCATAATTAACAAAATAAGGTAGCCCTCATTCATTATGCCATCATATCTAAAGATAAAAATACAAAATATTCTTGAAATTACAAGTCGTCCACCTCGTTTAACCCTTAACCACCGTGCTGCGCTGACTTTATTGAGAAATTCCCCCGGTACGCATGAAATAAAGTGTTCCCAAAAAATTCTTTTTTTTTCTTCATAAAATGATAAATTTCCTTCCCTGAACATGTGTCTGTAAAAATAAATACCAAATTCTACTAACTTTGGCTGTGAGGACATGGACAAGGTGCACTGTGACATCATCAGGGCCTGGTCGCCCATGTGTGAATCACCCAGACACGGTCGCGCGGGACATTCAAGCACCGGGTGTTGCCACAAATATATTTTCAATTATTTGTTTTACGTATTTTCAATGCGGTTTTATTTGTTTTATATCAAATATGATGCATATTTGTGTCCTTTACAATATGTATACAGTAGAACGTTCATAATGTTCCATGGAACTGTGATACACGTGTCAGTAATGTGTCAACAATAAATGTTTATGTCGCAATATTACCTGTTAAAAATTCACTAAAATTACAACATGCACAGTTTCACACAGTAGCACACTGTATTACACACTCAGTACTTCGGAAGTGAGTAATAATCAACGAAGTAGCCCATGGTACAGATAAATTTTTGCTTCCTGTTTCTTCATTCTTTGTGCTTGCAAATAACGCACTCACATACACCCTTGGCTTTAGTACTTGTAGGTTGTATGTAACCAAGCTTGTAAAGCATAAGGCAGTATTGAAAAGATTATAGGAAAACCTGGTTGATAACTGGTTGATGGGGCTCTGGGAGTTCTTCTACTCCCCAAGCCCAGCCCGAGGCCAGACTTGACTTGTGAGAGTTTGGTACACCAGGCTGTTGCTTGGAGCGGCCCGCAAGCCCACATACCCATCACAGCCCGGTTGGTCCGGCACTCCTTGAAGGAAACAATCTAGTTTCCTCTTGAAGATGTCCACGGTTGTTCCGGCAATATTTCTGATGCTCGCTGGTAGGACATTGAACAACCGTGGACCTCTGATGTTCATACAGTGTTCTCTGATTGTGCCCATGGCACCTCTGCTCTTCACTGGTTCTATTCTGCATTTTCTTTCGTGTCGGTCACTCCAGTACGTTGTTATTTTACTGTGCAGATTTGGGACCTGTCTCTCCAGTATTTTCCATGTGTATATTATTTGGTATCTCTCTCGTCTCCTTTTTAGTGAGTACATTTGGAGAGCTTTGAGACGATCCCAATAATTTAGGTGCTTTATCTCGTCTATGCGTGCCGTATGTGTTCTCTGTATTCCCTTTATTTCAGCAATCTCTCCTGCTCTGAAGGGGGAAGTGAGTACTGAGCAGTACTCAAGACGGGACAAAAGTGATTTGAAGAGCACAACCATTGTGATGGGATCTCTGGACTTGAAGGTTCTCATAATCCATCCTATCATTTTTCTGGCTGACGCAATACTTGCTTGGTTATGCTCCCTAAACATTAGGTCGTCGGACATCATTATTCCCAAATCCTCGACATGCTGTTTTCCTACTATGGGCAGATTCGATTGTGTTTTGTACCCTGTATTATGTTCAAGATCCTCATTTTTGCCGTATCTGAGTACCTGGAATTTATCAGATCAATTTGTAAGGTAGTCTTGAAAAGATCGCTCTGTATGGTCCCACATAGGAAGAGATTCAGCTTGCCACAAGAGTGTCCGTCAGTTGGGAAGACCTTCAGGTATTCTTGAAAATATATATGGAAAACACCACCATGGAAGCCGCTAACACTGTTCAGCTATGCTATTTGTATCAGATGTATCATCACTGAACGCAGAAAACGATTCATCTACAGTATGCATCATCTAAATATATTGTAGATAGCATAAGATTGCAAGGGTGGCGCTCAAAGCTACAACTGGATACGCTCGCTGTATTACTTGCATTCAACCTTTGTGTTAGGTCCTTATTGCACCTAGCTTCACCAATATTATGACCCCTATGTTCTTCAAACAATAAGGTTTGAATTTCACCAACAGAGCGTTATCATCAACCCTGCGTCAGACAGGTGTTTGGGAGCCAGAGGCGCGTGCGCCACCCATGGTTGTTCATTCAGTACTAACCCAGCCACCAGCTCTAGGGCATTCTGGGAATTTTTTCCAAGATGGCTGCCTCTCACTGGAGGTCCTAAGAGTCCATTTTGTACACAACCAACCTCTTAAACATTTAGAATTGGAAACGAAAAATCAAAGAGTTTTCTCGGTTTGCGCAGTTTCCCCCGGACCGAGAATACTCGGTTGGCGCAGTTAAGTGGTTAAATTGCTAAGGGGCTTTAACCCTTAAGCTGCTAAGGAGTCCTGAGGACATTTACACCGGTGCGCAAGAAAAATTCTAAAAAAAATTTTGTCTTTTAACCCTTTAACCCTCAAACCGCTAGGGGCCCAAATGGAATTCACACCCACAAGCGCAACAAAAAAAAAATCCAAGAAATTCTTTCGTCTTATAAAAGTGTTCATTTTTGTTCCCTGATCACGGAAAAAATAACAAAAAAATCGTAGGTGGCATATTTTAGCCGCAATAGGATAGGGAAGTGTGGCAAAAAAACCAGCGTTGAATGTAACGAAACGCCATTTTCTGGGTGAGTCCCGGAGGCTCCCCGGAGCTATCCCAGGCTGATATGCTAATGTCAGACTTTGGTATCAGTCATGTGTATGGAGTTCTTAGGCCTACTGGGGACCACGGCCAGAACCGGGCCCCCTCAGAGAGGCAAGGGAAGCAATGGCCTATAGAAGCCCCCGTGTGGTTGGAAGCATTCTATGTTAGCCATCGACCGGAACAGGCACCCAGAAAGGTAAGCGCCTCAAAACAAACTCCTATTCTGGTTAAAATTGCTACCAAAAGCCAAACTAGTGGATAGAACTCCCACAGAAAACAAGCAAACTAGTGTGATGTCACACGCCGCCGCACCGCTGTCTGCGAAGCTCCCCCCTCCCCGGGAGGGGCAAGGAGGAGCCCCAAACCCTCCACGCCGGTTTTCTGGGGGGAGCCCCGTTGGCTTCCCAGAGCTAACTTCCCACAGATGGAAAAAGAGGGACTTACCCAGGAGGCAGTCGTCACTCACTCCTCAACTCGAAGCCGAGACAACTGGCTGCAACCGCCGACCCAAAGCAACACAGGCCTGACGAGGCCCAGGGGCATTCACGAGGTAACGAGCAGCCAGGACCCTGTTCGACCGCCAAAATCCCCACGCCCGAATATCAGACCAAGACATATTCCCAAAGACAGCAGCAAGATCCGCGAACTTACGAACGTCATGGTCACGGGGATAGACTGCAGGCTGGCTGGACTTAATAACCCTGCGGACGACCTGGGAGACCCAAACCCGCGAACAGGGAAGAAGGGAAACCGGATCAACCCACAGCGCGTCCCCGGACACAGAAGCCGTGGCGTGCAAATAACGGTGAAGCGCCGCAACCGGACACAAAACATGATGCACCCCCGGCCTGACCAACCAAGCATCAACCACCCATGGACCCCTCCGGAACGCAGCAGTCTCATTCTTCGCCAGAAAAGAAGGAGACGGCTGCAAGCGAACAAAACAATCACCACGATCAAAAGAGCAGAAACCCCTGCGCTGGAGGAGAGCATGAAGCTCCCCTACCCGACCCCTAGAGGCCAAAGCCAACAAGAAAAGTCCCTTGGAAAAACAATCCTGGACCGAAGGGGCCACAACGAAACGAGGAGGCGAAAGGAAAGCGAGCACTCTGTCCAAAGACCAGGACGGCTCAGGCGGCGCATGAGCAGGCCGGAGGTGAAACGATGCACGAGACAGCTTGCGAAACGGCGCAGACGTAACATCGATACCGAAGGCAACCTGAAGCGGCTCCGCTAGCGCCACATGATACGAGGCGACAGTGTTAGGCATAAGATGACGGTCCTGAAACAACCACGAGAGGAAGGACAAGATCACCCGAACAGACAAGGAACCAACACAACGAAGACGCAAAAACAAACAGAAGGACTGCCAGGAAACTTCATACTGCTGCCGAGAAGAAGCCCTCAGGTGGGACACCAACAAGGAGGCCACCTGATCACCATAGAGATGATGATGAACTCGAGTCAAAAAACCCATACGTGAAGACTCGAGGAGAAGATCGAACCAGCTACGTGACGTACAGGCCCGATCTGCTGAAAGAGGCGGAGCCGCGGAAAAACCCTCGGGTTCGGACACTGAGCAACCAGCGCCTGAAACCAAGGCTGGACCGGCCACCAAGGGGCCAGAAGGACAACTCTCCCCTGGTAAGTCTCTAAGCGAGTCAGGATCTGGAGCAAGACCGAACTGGGGGAAAGAGGTACAGGAACCCCCACCTCGACCAGTCTAGCCGAAAGGCTTCGACCCCGACGGCCTCGCGATCGAGGAAGGGCGCCGCAAAAACGGGAAGACGCCACGACCACGCAAAGAGGTCCACCCCTGGGCGCCCGAACGTCTGGCAAAGCCAATGGAAGGACTCGTCGTCAACTGTCCACTCCGTGGAGAGGGGAACGAAGCGAGACAGGGCGTCGGCCAAGACGTTGGACACGCTCTATACATGAACCGCCAGGAGAGCCAAACCCCGAGAACTCAGCAGACGAGTCACCCAAAGTGACCAACCCCAAAGAGACAAAGACCGCATCGAACCCCCGCGGTTCAGGCAATGAACCACCGGAGAGCAGTCTGAATGGAGCAGAATCGTCGATCTGCGGGCCACCCGAATCCTCCCCAGAGCAAACCACACTGCCGCGAACTCCCACACCGTGCTGTGAGCTCGACGGAAAGACGGATCCTAACGCCCCTGGCCGGCCTGGTGAGCACTGGTCACAAAACCCCAGCCGAGAGACGACGCATCCGTGTACACATCGAGCGAGGGCTCGGGTAGGCGCCAAGGCACTGAACCCCGAAAAACCCTGA